AAACTGGTAATTCCAATGTCTACTGTCGGTAGGATTTATCAATTCATGATAGCCAGCCATCATATGACTGAGTTCGGTTTACGCAAAGGTTTAACTGATCACTTTCATTCACCATACAGATCGCAAGAAATATTGCTTGCAAGATTCAAAATTTTATGCTGAAAACACGAAATTAGTTATTTAATATAGTAAAGTGATATACGTTACCTCTTTTTAAGATGACGCTTCCAGAGTTATCCTTGGACAGCCATGGTCTCAACACAATTCTTCCGCCGATTCTAGCATGGTGAGTTTGAAGCTGAAATAATGCCTTGCTAAATGTTTACTGAATGCTTCAAGGCAAACTATAGCGAACAAAGCCATCCGGGCATACAGGCGCACACACATAAAATAAATATATAAATTTTAGACGGGCGTATGCATTTAATTGGAGGAAAAACGTTCTTTAGGACAATGAGGTTAATTTATGAAATAAATTTTCGTTGCATATATGTACATATATTTGAGGGACATATTTTTCTGGAAAGGATAAGAAACCTTAATGAAAAACATTTCGACACTAGCTCCCCAGGTGTGAGGTGTGTAGTGAGTGTTCAGAACAGGTAGAATTTTAAATATGCCTGAAAAAAATTAATAATGCCTGGTCATACTTGATGATAGCTGGGCGCTTACTGATCAGTGCCGAAACTGACTCGTTCCGTTATGCCTTGGGCTCGGTCTAGAGCCCCCGGCAGCCGCTCAATAGTTAGAATATTGTAGACGGATAGTATTGCCAGCAGAGAAAAGGGAGACTTAAATTACTATTTTTGGCTTATTAGCCGTCATCAGCCATCCATACTCAATCACAGACGTGGCGACCCCGGTGACTGGAATCTGCGACCTTGTTAGTTAGAAGTCCAATGCTCTAACGACTGCACCCCGGACTCTGATTCTGGTTTTGGTTCAGAGTTTCCGAGTGTTTCAGACAGTAAATAATAAGGCCATTGAATTCCCCTCCAACCACTCTGATACGGATCGGTGAACTCCAGTCTGCCACTGTGTGTATTCCCGATAGAAATCCGCAAGACTAAACGCCTATGGTGCAGTGGTTAGAGTGCTGTACTTCTAACTAACGATGTCAGAAGTTCAAAACTCGCGTAGGACATCATTTTGGTTTGGGCACGACTGGTTGACGACGGCTAATAAGCCTAAAATGGCCCTTTCAATCTCCCTTGTCTT